GTCCCATCAAAATAAAAGCTTCTACACCCGAACAGGAAGTTGGTAGTAGAAGACAGCAATGAGTGCCAAAATAAGGTGCAAGGAAAGGCATTCAGGGATATTTACACATTCTCTAGTTTTTCTATAATACGTTGTGATATATTACTTAAATATACTGGGCTGTGAGTATACTACAAAAGAAAAAATGTAAAGTAAGAAATGTTACTTTTACAGGTGCTGTGGAGGTACAAAGGAGAAAAACCAGAAACCTTGAATGCCAACACTAGAATATATGACTGGATCCCTCAGAATGACCTCCTAGGTACGTAAACATGGTACCAAACACAGACTTTCTTAAATCTGCAATGACATAAATTAAACATGCATTCAACATTAAATGCAGGTTGTTAGCATTCTGTTTATTAACAAAAGGAAATTATATTATATACTTTTCTAGCAGATGTGATCTTGATTACATTACCCTGTGCAAATCTACCCTGGCTAATTCTTTTTCTCCAAGAGGTTTCACTAAAGATTAGTTGAATGCACAGAGGTATTAGAACGTGCAAATCAATCTTGGCTCAAAAAACTTTTTCCAGGTTCTTGAAATTCTCCTTTTTTTCACATGTGAAAAACTAACTTTCAATGTCACACGGTTATTTGGCATGTGTTAGGTCACCCTAAAACTAGAGCTTTCATCACTCATGGAGGCACAAATGGGATTTATGAAGCCATCTACCACGGAGTTCCCATGGTGGGCATACCCGTGTTTGGTGACCAGCCAGACAACATGATCCACATGAAGGAAAAAGGAACTGCAGTTATTCTCAATTTGAACTTCATGACAGCTGAGGACCTAAGAGATGCAGTCAACACCGTCATTAATGACAAATCGTGAGTTCTCTGAACTATCTGCACTTTAAATTAGGCACTGAAAAGTGGCTTTAAAAGGAAAAAAATGGAGCAGGCTCAGAGTATGAAATGTGAAGAATCTACCTTAAACCATTTTTTCTTGGAGCCAGCTAACACAAGAAAGCCCCGCTGAGCTGAACTTTCAATTCAATTTTATTTATATAGCACCAAGTCACAACAGTAGTCGCCTCAAGGCGCTTTATATTGTACAATAGATCGTACCATAATAGATACAGAGAAAAAAACAACAATCATATGACCCCCTATGAGCAAGCACTTTGGCAACAGTGGGAAGGAAAAACTCCCTTTTAACAGGAAGAACCCTGTCAGTGGTGTGTGACATTTTTAAATACGATGAAGGAATACAAGACAGTCATAAGGAGTTTTATAGAGCTACGTGCACGGGTGAGTGATCGAGTGATACTCACAACCGAGGCATTGCAGTCAGATTTATTTATACCAAGAGACAGTTGCGTAGCATTTCCTGTTTTTCAAGCTTACTTATCAGC